GAGATTAATATCGTTGCATAATTGGACTTGTGTCGTTTCAGCTGAGGTGGTGAGAAAGATGCGTGAAAGTGATGGTGAAGGCGGCGAGGAATGGTAAGTAGCTTCAAGTTCACCCGAATTCAGTGTGAAACACTCCAATCGCATCTGAGACCTGAAAGGCGACGGGCAAGTTTGTCACCCGAGTCAATAAACATGGCATTCGTATGACTCGCCTGGGTTCTGGGTCCTTATCACATTGAAACAGGTATTCACTGGTCTCTGGTCCAAGCGGTCTACACACGATGTAAGTGAGGTAGGAAACAGCTAGAATTGTCTCATTCATCCAAGGATTTTTATGAGCTCCGAGTCCATGCCAACTCCCCAGTGATGTTCGAATGAAGCCTGGTCTCAAGAGTGGCTTGGGCGACAGGAACTGTGGCTGAGTGGCAAGGTACACATCTTGGACAAGGTACGTATGTGGCTTGAGAAGACCAGCACCCTTGCCTAAGACACACCAAGAAACCGTTTAAACGACGGCTCGTCGTTTTCAGACCTTAATATGGCTTCAGGAACGGCAGACGCACATTTGATCTGATTGATCAAGCGGAAACCAGCGGACACTTGTGGCTCAACACCGTGCACTTAGCGCAGGGCTGGATGTACCAGGCCTTGTAGGCATTCGTTACAGTGGCAGAAGAAGTCGATGAGGGCCGTCGACTCAGGTCAGCCCATGCTGGATGTCCCCAGTGGCACCACTAGGCACAGCACTCCATCAGCTGCCCCCTAGGCAGGACTCGGCAGGCTGCCCACCACTAGCCAGCGAGCGCTGCAGCCATCACCCAGTTTTTTCTGCACAATTGACCACTGGCCAGCGCACGCACGCACCCACCAGATTCACTCTCACCAAAACCACCAGCAAACCACCACCACCAACTCCACAACCGCCCCCCTCCCTTTTTGTTGGCGCATCCATCCATCTCGTCACACGCAACATCTCCCTCTGGAGCATCACCGCCCAACTTCGTCCCGCAGCAGCCCTCAAACGCCATCCTTGTCGCGGCATCCCGTACTTGCTCCCATCTCTGCGATATTCGCGCCGCCTCCCGCTCCAGCATAGACCCGTTTCTTGCTGTCTGTACCGCATCCGCTACATCACACCTATCTGCCTACCCACTCTACTCATCCACGTTCGCACCCAACCAAACCTGCAAACGATCGCAGCCTAATTCGACCACCGAAAACTGAAAAACAGCCGCCGTGCTTTGCGAGACATCCTGCACGCCTTCGTGACCCGACCAACGATCTGTGCACTTCCTCTTCTACCTGCCAATATCAATAAACATTCTTTTTCCTCCCAGCTCGCAACATCAATTCTTCTACCAGGTTCCACCCGGCTCCCTACGTAAACCAGACAACACCAAGTTTGCCTATATTCGATCGCCTCATTTCAGCATTGCTATCCTTGGCCTTGAAAAACGAACTTCCACGACAGACATTCTCCCGATCATAATATATACCTCGTCCTGAGGAGTACCTAATTGGTCGGTGACTGGCGACTGGCGAGCGCACTCCTGACAGATGCGCGTTGCGCGTGCACATCCTTGTTATGGCCTTACGATATACGACAGAGGACCTTCTCTGTCTGAGAGACTCTCCGTTATGTGTGAAGCCTGAGAACCTCCCGCCCATTGATGAGTGGATGGGGTATGTGATTTCAATTTCTGGATTGGCTGCCATAGCTAACAGTATCCTTTCAAAGACAATCCCCTGAACAGCCCGCTCGTCACCAACAACAAAATCCCCGTGGCCAGGTCGGAGCTTTTGACAAGTTCCGAAACAATGTCGAAAACCCTCTGCATGACCAGACCAATAGACGTCCGAACGTTGACCGGCATATCTCTCGAAACAGCGCTACCAGTACGTCCCCTCGAGCAGGTTTCTTTTTCTTATTGGATGAAACAAGCTGACACCTACCTACTTACAGACCCTGAAGACATTGTGTTCGGTCCTCCACGAATGGCCTTTGCCTCATCTGGCCGAGCAACGAAACCTACGGACGGCGACAAGCTCAAGGACGGTGATGCACAAGGGCGGTTCGGCTTCCGAAGTCGTAATGAGGGCGAAGGTGACCGTCTATCAGCAAACCGAGCCACTAATCCCTTGAGGAGACGTGGCGATGGCACCGATCAAGACAGTGATGGCTGGACACCAGTTAAACCTCGCAAAAGTTTTGGCGCTGAAAATGCGGAGCGTTTCCAGGGCAGAATGGGAGGAAACTTCCGAGACGAAAAGGTTCAATCCAAAGACCCCAATGGTAGAACTGCTCGACCATTCGATACATTTTCAAGGGAGCGCAGCATGAAGGAGGAAAACGGCCAGCCCAGAGCGACGACTGATAAGAACGGCACTGAAGCTTGGCACAAATCCAAGAATAGCGAGGGCCGCTTACCAGAGAAGCGCGAACGCATCGATCGAGCCAAGAACTGGAGAGAACGCGACCAAGAATCCGAAATCCAGGATCAAGGCAACGCCCGGAACGCTGACAGAAGATGGGGAGGCGATCGTCGTGTTGAGCGTGAGCCCGAGTGGTTAGACGAACCGGCCGACTTGAAGGGAGAAGCTCGAACCCAACAAGACTTCCAGAAATGGATGGAGGACATGAAGAAAACCAAGACCGGGCAGCCTCCCTCCAACGAATCATCGGCCATCCCCCACGAGCACAGTTTCGAAGAGCCTCCAGCGTCTGCGCCAATCATCACTGAACAAGGCCCAGACAAGTTTTTCATGGCTTTTGGGTCCAAGAATAGCACCGAAGTGAGCTCACCAGGAGACCAGCCTGAAGTTGCAGCAAGCAGGCCAAAGCCTGCTGGCAAGTCGTCCAGGTTCACCTCCTTCTTCCAAAATCATGAAGTTAAGACCGAGCCTCCAACGCCCATGGCTGCACCCCCTCCACCAATGGGTCTGAACATGTTTCAGCAGCCCCAACCTTCGGCTCTAGGTCCGCTCACACCAGCTGCTCCTCAAGACGAAGAGAAGCAAGCATTCCAGCAATTGCTTGCAAAACTCCAGAAGCACTCTATGAGCGCTACCCCTCCCGGCCCGTCTCCATTTATGGCTCCGGGCCAACCGAACCCTGCCATGGAGGCTGCCAAGAAAGCCCAGATGCCTGCTTCGCCATTTGAAGCCCTTCTTGGAGGCGCTGGCCGGCCGCCTCCTCAACAGCCTCACGAGATCCATGCACCAAGGCCCCAGCCTCAGACTGCTCGACCGGAGCAGCTCCTGCAAGACCTGGTTGGCCACCACCAGCGCGTATCAAGTCGAGGATCTGGGCGCCCCGACGAAGGCGCAGCTCGCAACAACAGTAACACTGAGTTCTTGATGAACCTCATGCGTGCTGGGTCAGGAAGTACGGAATCGCAGCTTCACAAGCAACCTCCGCCGCCAAAGGGAGGTGAGCGCGAGGTTGACTTTGGCCGCGACGGAAGGGGTCTTCCCCGCCAAGTCCGTCCACCGCCTCCCCCTGGCTTCCCCCTGGAAGAAGGCGAATACATGCCCAACCCGCCTACTATCTTGCAACGACCACCACCACCTCCCGGACTGGACCAGATGCCACCGAACTGGATGGGCGGCGGAGGAGTCCAGCTTCCTCCCCTCCAGCCTCCCCAACAGCAGCAACAGAGAGGCCCCATGCTACCACCCCCAGGCCTTGCCGGCGGCCCTGGCCGAAACCCTCCAATGCCCCCTATGTTCCCGCCCAACTTCCCACCTGGCGGGATGCCTATGCCAGAGGGCATGGGCAACATGCCTCCCCGCAACATGGGACCTCCTCCCCTGGGCTTCTTTGGCCAGATGCCCCCAGGATTCATGCCGCCACACGGCATGGGCGGATTTGACGGCCCACCCGGACCTCAGTCCCCAGGGGGCTTTGGACCCCAAGCACCTTTCGAAAACCGAGGAATGCCAGCTCCCGGCGGACGAGGGAACAATTTTGGTAGAGGCTAAGTAAATGCTTTGACCTCTTCTCAGAGAAACAGTACGAATATATTCTTTCTTATCTAATCCAACGCGAAATGAAGTGAGACTCAAGTAGAGGCCATTCCTTTCAACAGGTTCTTGTTGTTCTCAAAACATGTACTGTGAAAGAAAAGGGGGAGAGGAAATCGCCTTTTTCCTATTCGGGGTCGGGGCCCAGATGGCAATTACTACTTTTTCTTTTGCCTCGGAAAGCCCGACTTTCCCGTGTATTCGTGTCCTCAGCTATGAGGCGAGGTAGTCCTTGGTTGTCGTGTCGTGGAGGGACTAGCTATTGGGTCAATTGTGACAGAAAACAAAAAAGAAAACGAAAATCCAACGAGGCAAATTTTTGTTCGTGGACCATTGGCTGATTTACCCCTTGATTTTGATGTGATTGCTTGCTTGCCTACTTATGATGATGAAATGCTGCAATGTGCAGTCTGGTTGTTTTTTTCAAAGTGTTGTAGATACATGTCAGAACTTATCAAGGCGGGATTCAAAGCTAAGTGGTATGTATTATGTAGACTTACCCAGCTCTGGGTGTGGAAGACGAAAAATAACATGAGAAAAGGAAGAAGCGGGTTGGGGGGGACAAAAGAGGTCGATCTCAACGCCACGCTGAGGAGAAGTGAGTTTTGTATCCATGTAATATAGCCAATTTCAGACAATTAAGGCACCCCAAGCCGCCAACATCAATCCAGATCCAAACCTGCCCCCTTCGATGATTTACTTCCCACTGCACCACTTCTGTAGAATCTATATAAGAATGTAGGTTTGATAAATGTAGATGTGTTTGGGGGGAATTGGGAGACACGCGAGGGCCAAGTGCTTCATGGCTGTGACCTAGTCTCTTTTATGGGTTTATTTTTCCTCTTTGCACTCGCCGCCAACGCACGCTCCTCATGCCTGCCAAACCCATCTGCTGTCCCTCTTTGGTCCTTGTGCCGCTTTTGGCGGTGTCGTCTCTCCTCGATACTTGAGGAGCTTTCCCGGGCGGTGGAAGCCGCCTATGATTTCTTCATGCCCAGGAAGTTCCTCAGCTTCTTCTCCTTGTGGTGTTTCCCGTCACTTGGGGGGTATTGCTGGTGCTGTGATGTCGGTGTGCCCGGGCTCTTAACAGAGCTCTGGGATGGGCTTTGGATGGGTCGAGGAGACGGGTTCCCGCCAGAGCCAAGGGTCATCTTCGACATGTCCTGAGCGAGGGGGACTGGTCTGCGGGCCGGGCCGCCATGGGGCGAAGGGTTTGTCGGGCCTGGACCAGCAGGCTTCGGGACAACCTTGGGGCGCTCGAAGAGGTGTGCGGGGGCCTGTGGCTTGGGCCGGTCCGCCGGTAGGTCAAGCTGACGGCGACCACGGCTGAGATCTCGAAGCTGCCTTATATAAAGTTGGGGCGTGATCATGTGGGAAGTCGCAAGGATGACTTCACGGGCTCGCTCGTTGCCAACCTGGTAACAAGCACGGCTTTCACTGTAGGTGGCACCGCCAGCCATGAAGACGAGGATGCGCTGTCGCTTCTCTGGTGGACGTCGACCGCCTGAAGCCCAGTTTGGGCGGCCAGCTCGGAGAGAGCCGCCCTGAGCGAGGAGCATGTCCTCATTTGGATCCGAGGGCGGCTTAACGAAGGGGAAGTCTATCTGGTCGAGAACACCTCTTGCCGTAGCATCAATCACATCTTTCAGTACTGGGTCAAAGCGCGACAGGCTGTATTCCTCACTGAATTGAGCATTCTTTGTATCCTTGGGGAACAAGACTGTGGGCTCAGAAACAGGCTCTTTCACGTCCCTACGAAGAGACTGGCAGCCCAGAGCTCGCAAGTTTTCCAAAACAGCTGAGTCCGCCTGTGGAAGAGATGCATGAGCCAGCAATCGTTTGATGTCTTCCAAAATGACACCGTTGCGATAAATCACGAACAAAACAATGAGTCTCAGCCTGTCCGGATAGCCAATCGATTCTTCGTCCAGGAGTCGCACAACAGAGTCTAAAACGTTCTTTGGCTTTTTGTAATCCTCGTCCAAACCAGTGGCCATCGTCTGTTCAGCAGCGGCAATATCAGGTAGTTTGTTGTTCTGGAAGATGTTCATGCACTCCTGCGCCATGGTGAGATGAAGCGAGTACGCTTCCTTGAGCTCTTGGAACTGCGGTAGGCCCGCCAACATATCGCGAATGGCGCTAAGACTGGTTGTATCGGCATTCTCGTTTGTGAAGTGAGGGTTCTCTTCGATGAACTTTCGGAAATCCCCCATAAGCTTATCAATCGTATCCTTCATATGTCGGTGACGGTTTTCCACCCACAGCTTGTCCTTCTCGCTGAGTTCCAGGTCCTTTTCCTCGGCATCTGGCATACCCTTGTTGATGGTGGTTCGATACGTAATCTTATCCCCCTCCTTAACGGGAAGTAAGTCGTGTGCCATCGCTTGGTACGTGAATTCGTGCACGAGAGGTGCTACGACATCCATTGCACGATCTGTGATAATCAAAGACGCCTGCGGTCGTCCGGTCTGGGGTGGGAAGTTGTTATTCCAATGGGCGTAAGTGTCAAGCTCCTGCTGGACAAAGGAGGCCAGATGCGTACATAGCACAGCAGCATCCCAATGCTGCTCTCTAGGGCGCCAATAACGGACTTTCGGATACTCTCCAAGAGTGATACAGACACCAGCAATCTAGGCAAACCGGTTAGCAACGAATTTTCCAGACCATGCAAGTCCGAAGCATACTTTCTGGGCAAGGGTTTTCAAGTGGGTAGCAACTAGGGAGTCGCAATCTTTGTGGTACAGGATCGGGAAACTCCAGGGGTCTCGGAAAGTCAAAAGGCTGGCTTCACGAGGGTAAAAGTCAATGAAGAGTGTGTTTGAGCTGGCTCGAAGTTGCCGGACTCCAGGAAAGTCGTCAATTTTGCGCCGCAAGCTAGGATCTATCAAGCTCGTCCAGAGAAGATGCGCGCACTTATACCGTCGACGGTCGAAATCGGCGAGGAGGCAGTCGACAATATGAGGTTCCGGTGAGAGGATATATATGGCCTCCATCTCAGGGTTCGGTTCGCGGCGATCCTCGATTTTCTCGATAGCTACAGGAGTCGGATCAGCAGGAGGTCTTGAGCGTGCATGAGAGATCCCAAGGAGCACTGACTAGCAATGTTGTTGTTAAGAATGTCATCTTCCTTGACGGCATTATCGATAATCTTCTTGGACTCCGTGTCGACAACCAGGCATTTCCACTATAAGTTGAAGCTGTCAGCGTCCGCATCGGTCAAGCTTCCAAAGGAGGGTAGTCCTACGTCGCCTCGAGTGATGGACTGGATGCCTTGCAGGATAGCTAGGACAAATATTAGACAATATGCGCAGGATAGTCCTGGGAATGCAGGTGAGGGTCTCACCATCCCGCTGCTGGTCAATAACGGAGAAGGCCATGGCGGTTCGGCGGCAATTGCTGGGCGCTCCTGAACCTCGAGGTCAGGCCACGCCACAGGCAACAGGTTGTTCGGTACGAGGAGGTCGAGGATGAGGCTGCCAAAACGAAGAGCAAGCGGCAGAGGAGAGACAGGCGGCGTCGCACAGCACAGCACAGCACCGCACAGCAAGCGAGGAGAATTGGGTCGGGCTGGGCTGGGCTGGATCAGGAGAGCTGGCTGTCTGGCGGTGATGGCGGGGTTTGGACGGTGCTTGGACGGTGCCCCAATCAGCGCGGATCAGCAGCCAGTCCTGAACGGAAGGCGGCAGGCCTAAAAAAGCTTACCTTAGGACACCTGCTGCCGGCGGTGCAGCCTGTAACCCTCTAATCGACCCTCTAATTAACCCTCTAGGCGGCGCTAGTCGTGCGTGCAGCTACCACCCAAAAGTGGGCGTCTCAAACAGGCGGTCGTCACAGGCCTCTTACGCTGTGACGTAACACAGGCGTTTCAATAGCGAACGTAGGGCTCGTTGTGGTGCAGCACGGACAGGGGCAGCTGGCCAGGGATGCCCCATCGGCAGTACCTAATTAGCATGGGTCGAGATACCGCGCATCCACGATGCCATTTTACATTTGGCCAACTTCCTAGAAATCTCCAATGAGTGTTAATCAGGTGAGCGTGTCTTGATCGCCGTCGAGGCATTGAGGGACTGGGTCTGAATGTGATTTGGTGCTAGGTGGGCAGGACCTGGGAGTGCTTAAATTCAAATATTGTATTATCGTTATTATCATTACTAACTGTGCAATGTCCAACCAAACCTCCTCTCCTGGAGGAAGGTTTATCTGTCCAACCCTAAAATATCGTTTGTAAAACGCCTAAAATCCCGAATCACTGGTCCTATTGGAATAAACATGTATAGGAAACAAAAGATGGCTGTCACACACATGTTACCACCTTCCGCTCCAGTTGCATCATGCAGTCGCAGCTTGTCCAGCCTCCCCATTTGCTCTCAGCTCGCCTGAGGGCCGATAAGCTCGGCCAACCAGGCCCAGACGAATGCAACAGGCACGAGTGCAAGGAGCACCCACCACAGCTCAATGGTGAACTTGATCGTCAGCCATCGCCTCCACCTCGGATTTCGTTGGCGATGGACACAGGTCTTTGTCCCAAAAACGAGGCATCCCAACCCAGGTCTCGAGTCGCACTCCATGTGCTCCCGGCGGCGTTTCATAAGAAGTCTAGGGTAATAATGTCAGCTACGTATAGCCAGGGGAGATGGGATGGACGAATGATGATGACTTACGGAACACTCCCACGACAGAAGCGTAGATCGCTTCCCAAGTCGCAGCGCTTGTCATTGGGGCATTCAAGATGCAGGCTTCGACGCTCAATGAGCCACTCGACCTTGAGATTGACACCTGTGTTCACGAGCCCATAAAAGTGTCTGCTCGTGTGCTTCAGAGACAAGGCGTCAGGGTAGATCAGGTGCTTCGATATGGCGAAATGGATCTCGGTTGGCAGCGACATGAAATCGACGGCCCCGGACTGAGAAGCTCCCGAATCGGCACGCTGCGATGCTGGTTTGATGCCGCGAGTGGAGTCGGTAGCATCGGCGGGGGCAGACCCGGAGCTGTTGACTGCTCGACGACGGTGTAACGTAGATGATGCCATGGCTAGAGAGCAGAGTACGGGTATCTAGGCTCGTATGTCAAGGGGGCGTGGATGTGGGCAAACGCGTGTTGGAGACTGCGGAAGGCAAAAGGGTACGGGAGCATGGACGTTACTCGCGAGGCGCTCGCCAATCTCTATGTACTCGGCTGTTGCCTTGAAGTCGACTGAGACCGCACGACAGTCTACACCACAATAGGAGTGCCAGCGTGTTCGGTCCATCCCCATGTTCACGTTTCCATACGAGCTTCAGCCCACCCCGCGGCTCTCAGGGGGCGGCGCCCGCATTCAGGTACCAGCTGATGCACCGCCACGGCGAAGCCCACCGCCGACCGAATATTCTGAGCATGGGCATATCGGTCATGCAGGCGCGGCTGATCCTAAATACGAGACGCTGGCAAGTTGATGCGCCTGTTTGAGTATAGGCGCGGGTTCCTGAATGTCGTTGCCTTGATTAGAGCCATTCCCTTGGACGCAGATTGGCCTGAATTGTGCTGCCTGCACCTACACCACTGCAGGCTACTAAACCGGGCAGTGGGCCTGCCTACATGTGTAACCAATTGCTTGAAATACGTCTGCCTACTGAAGAATCAGACCTCTTGGTTATTCCCTTGATCAGAAATCGGCGTAATAATAGCAGAGAGTATTGTAAGTAGACATAATTACTACCTCACCATTCCTAATCATCCCTGACAATAACAATAAGAGTAGTCAGGTCTCTAGCTTCGAAAGGTGGCGGAGACACAGGAGTGCATACCGTCAGGCGCTTGACTGCGCTTGCGGCTAACCTGTACAGCCACAGATAGATCCAAGAAGACGAGACAGTGGCTGATTTAGTGGCTTGAACGGGTAAATGCCATCGACAACAATCAATCACCTAGGTAGTGAAGGGATCAAACTGCCGCGGGTAGTGGCTGCTTGTCCTGTTCACGGTCTGCTTCTGTGCCCCCAATCCAGTAACTGCTGCCACGTGACGGCGTGTGGCTCTCGCGTCTGCCTAACATCACCACTTTCTAATCGCCGCTCTATGAGTGGACGACGCCACCTTGGAAATTCACCAACTCTTTGCTGTATCCACCGCCTCGCCCAGCGATGAGCGTGCCAGGTCATGATTCATGATAGTAGCTACAATGGCAAACCTGGCCTCGCAAGATAGCGACGATTTTGATTACGATTTTTCGCTAGAAGACGAACAAGCATTGATCCAACTTGCTACTTCCGCTCGCTCCGTCGGTGAGCAGGTCCCGGCCAATGCTGCAGCCATTCATGCCACGGATTTCACATACAGTAACTGTGCGCCGAGAGCTCACAATGCGCTTGAGCAGCAGTCCTATATGGCGGCTCATGTCGAGGCACTGCCACGCACGCTGCCTTCACCAGTGTCGCTGGATGGCGACATCCAGTATCCCGATTGTAATTTAATGGCCCTCTCTGAAAAAAGCCTTGTGGTCGAGGCTGACTGACCATGAAGCGATTAGTGAGTCGGGCGCTTAGGAATATTAACGAGGAAGCTCCCCCGGCTGCTGTGCAGACCACAGACCAGGACAAAGCGCCCAGACCATTGGAGCGAGGTCAAGAGCTCGACGATGGTCGCTCACCCCTCCAGAGGTTCCGGTCTTACCCCAAGAAGCCTCTGACTGTGTCAGACCTGACATCAGGCGCTTGGTGCGAACTCCAGTACTTTTATACCCTTACTCGACTACCTGGAGGCCGTCGGACTCGCACTGCGGCGATGCGACAAGGCAGTGCTATGCATCAGAAGCTAGAGGACGAGGTGCACACGGCTGTGAAGATCGACATTGTGACCAAGGAGGATGCATTTGGTCTTCGGCTCTGGAATTTTGTCCAAGGACTGAGAACCCTCCGTGACATGGGCCTGACCCGGGAATTAGAAGTGTGGGGTATGATTGATGAGAATCTCGTCAACGGAATCATTGACAGTGTCAGCTATGAAAACCCAAACGAGGAATTCGAGGAGGAGCTCTCCAGTCAAGAATCACAGGCAGCCCAGCTTCAGACGAGCATCCGAGACTACTTCCCACAAAAATCGAAGACCGAGCATCACCGCAAGGTCTACCTTACAGATGTGAAAACCAGACGGTCACGCAAGCCCGTCACCCGTGCAGTTGTCAAGCCAGCCAAGGTCCAGTTGCTTCTGTACCATATGTTCTTGTGCGACATGGCTGCGGGCAAATTGGATTATCTAAAGGTTTTTCGCCGCTATGGGCTCGATCCTGACGATACATTCTCAGATACATTCATGGCTGAGATTGGCGGTCTTCACGATGAGATTTTCGATGACACGCCCGCAAGCTCGGCAGGCGGAGCGCCGAACGGGAGCTCGCAGGCAGCTCCAACATCAAGTGATATTACCTCCAGTGGTGAGGAGGATTCACGGATGGCTTCGACTCCTGACCTCCTCAAGTATAACACCCTCCGTGATCTCATCGCATTGGTTAAAGATGAGATACGTCTTACTTTCCCTGAAGGGGCAGATTCTATCGGGCAAATGCTCCGTGTTCACTATATTCACCAGGAATCTGGGGAGGATATAGATGTCTCTGATTTCCCTGTATCCAGGGTAGCACTGGAAAAATATCTTTCCAAATACATGGAGTGGTGGCGCGGAGAGCGGCCGGCCGAAGGGGTTGAGATAGAGGAGGGTTTCAAGTGCCAGACGTGTGAGTTTGGAAACGACTGCTCCTGGCGGGAAAGCTTGGGCCAACGCATACTGGCACAGGCAGAGGAGAGGAAACGTGCGCGTCAGGCTAATGCACGCTGATGAAACTGGTCATGAAACGTCTATGAATTATTTTGAATGAGCTATATTTTGAATAAACTAATGTTACGGGATGGGGCATCATGCGCCCGAGCGATTACAATGCCTTCTCACGTTTGACATTGGCATACATTCATGAGATGTATGCTTGTATAGCTTCGAACTGAGGCTGCCCTTGGACCCCAAGGCACCGAGCTGGAGCCCGCCCAAAAGTGTTTGGAGTTACAACTTGTTGCCATTCATCAAGTTATCTGCCCAATTTCCTTACTCTGGGCAGGAATAGTTAAGGTAGGCTTATTGACTGCTGACTCAGCTAACCTGTGCACAGGTTAGCTGAGTCAGCAGGAGGAACATGTGTTTGCGAGCCTCGAGATTTAGCGACCATGTCCGGTTAATTTTTTATAGACTCTCGTGTGGTCTGATAGATACAACTGTTTGTTTCGGTGAAGTGTCGGATCCGTACTTGCTCATGCCACAGCGGGTTTGTTCCTGAGACAAGAAGGAATCGGGAGACCGAAACAAATACCTGTGCGTACTTGTAAGACCACCTACCTAGTAGGGAATGGACTGTAAAGAGACGCACTGCTTACCTGGATGACTCTTGTCGTTGCGCCAAGTTTCTTCTCACAGGCGTTAGGACTCTCGATGAGAAGATGCTCCGCTTCTTCGTACTTCTTCTGCATGATGTACACTAGACCGATGTTGGCCTTCTGAGAAGTAGGGATCTAGATACCGTAGGATTCGCGGATATGCCGTTCCTGCTTGGAGGTTTTATCAGGGATAAAGACATATTTGATAGTTTCGAGCAGGCCATTTTGGCCGAAGAAGACTTAATGCTGCCTTAGTATCTCAATGATAAGGCGCGAGGGATTGACTCCTTTATTCTATGAGACCAACTGTGTCGCGCTTGTAAGTTTATTGGTAAGTGTGTTGTTAGTTGTCTCAAAGTAGTTGGGCACTCAAGCTATGCTTAGCGAGAACAGAGTTGCCATTTGGGTCTTTGATTCTCGAGTTCGTTCTGGAAAAGGCTTAGTAGGCGTAAGTAATTTGTTGGAAACATTTGTTGATTTCCCTTCACTATCAACCTTAGTTCTCTCTACGTCGGAGAGCTGGAAGACCAAGTGTTTGCTGCGACATATCGTAATTCCGCTAGACACATTCTCCATCAACTGGTGTGTATCAGTGTATTTTCCATATACCTGATTAGCTGTACCCACGCCAAGACAAGTCTGTTCGCAAGACATTCGACCGAGTCATGACACTTCCTTCTGTAGGGCCGTATAATGCCATAATGGCACAACTCTAGTGGCTCTAGAGGTAATATTATTGACTCTCTGCTAGATTTGGCTTCACTAAGACACTCATATAAGGCCTTATCGATGCTGCTTTGACGGAGCACGGATCTTCTTTGGTTGAGTAACTCTCTTTACAGTCGCGGGTTTCTTGGGGGGACTTTCTTCAGAGGAGTAGCTTTTCTGGGAGGAGTAGTTTTCTTGGGAGCAGTAATCATCTTTCGTGCAGAAGGTTTCTTTATCGGAAAAGCCTTCTTAGAGGCGACAGAATCCTTGATAGCAGGAGGCCTCTTGGCAATGTTCTTTGAGGGATCCAGTTCGTGGAATTAACCCCTTAATTTCGAGACTTGGAACGCTTCCGAACTGAGGTAGATTTGGGGAGTTTCGAATTGGCTCTGGAATTGTGTTGAACTGAGCACTCCTTGAGGTCGGTGTGGCATTTTCGCCGGTCTTCTTAGGGGTCATAGGTCTCTTGCCAACGTTCTTGGGAGAAGTCCCCTTCTCATGCTGTTTGTGGGGAGCAACCTTCCTTGCAGGTTTCTTGGGTTTCTTGGGACAGACGCAAACCGATGCCTCCCGGCCAAATGCATGGGGGCAACCTGGTCCGGCTTCTTACACCAACATTTAGTTGTTGGTACTTAGCTGACATCGACCGCCGCGTGTAAACACAGTATGCCAATTCCAATTTCATTATTAACCGTGCTGGTCAATAGTACGGATAAGAGTGTACAGAAACATGGTGCATGGTATTAGAGCTGACGAGCTTATATATACTGGATTAATTTTCGGCCGGAAAACTATATATCCAGAAAATAGCTGTTTATTGATATCAGCAAACAAGTTTCGACTTCACACCTACTCAGGCACGGAAAGTATAGATGACTAAGCTAACCTGCGCACAGGTTAGATGACTCAGCAACAATTGGGACAGTAGCTTTCCAGGTCTGACGATGAGCCAACACACCCCTCATGCATACATCAAGAGTAGGGCTGGCATCGGCCGCCGCATGCAGATACAACATGCATTCCAAGTCTAGTATTAGTCGCGCTGGTCAATACGGATATAAGTGTTCAGAAACGTGGTGTATTGCATGAGATTGGACAAGCTTATATATATTAGATTAATTTCCGGCCGGCCGACCTCAGCGCCTCAGGCTCCCATTGTCTAGTGGTTAGGACGTAAGGTTTTGATCCCCAAAACTCCTTAATGCCCAGGTTCGAATCCTGGTGGGAGCTACTCGCGACTTCATTTTTGCTTTTTACACTCTTTTTCTGAACTACCTAGACACCGTAGTGTGCTTCAGTGATTCCGTTTGCGAACCCAGTCCCGCACCTGGTTCAAGAGAAGGCATGGATCCGCGTCTGCACTAGTTCACCCCAGACAACATGCGACGGTCAAGAGGCTCTGATGAGGAGGAAGAGGAGGAAGAGGACATCCCACTTCATCACAAGAGGCCTTTTGGCTCAGGGCTGAAGCGCAAGAAGATCGAGTTCGTGCGTGCCACGGAACCCGACGAGACGGCAGTTGCGGCCTCCGCGTCCAGAGCCAAGGCATCGGCTATTGGTAATCTCTACGCTAGTATCGTGCTCGGCCAGTCCTCTGCCAGCTCTAGCACGCCCACGCCGACCCCAGAAGGGGTGGGAGAGGAAGCAGCGGGAGGCGCCATACCCCAGGAGACGTCAGATCAGACCATCTGCCCCGTGTGCCTGCTGCCGATAACCACGTCCATCAGCAAGCATAACGCTTCACTTGCTCACCAGGTCAGCCTCGAGCACTCCCACCCGCCGTCGGCGCTCGACAGATCCCGCATGGGTCTCAAGGCCCTCGCGGCGCAAGGGTGGAATCCAGATGCGCGCCAAGGACTGGGCAAGGAGGGGGAAGGAATGCGATTCCCCATCAAGGTGTCGGCCAAGGAGGACAATCTCGGCATTGGAGCTACGATCCCGGAGATGAAAGAGGGTGAGATCAAGGTCGTCAAGGAGAAGCCGATGAGCGTCAAAGAGCTCAAGGCTATCCAAGCAAAGGAAAAGACGAAGACTGAGAAGCTCCAGCGAGAAATCTTTGGGAGCGTTGACGTGGACAAATATCTCAAGAAGGGCGCGGAGTGGGAATGAACCGGTATAAGATTCGGGGTTTTCTGGACGGTTTCAAGCCTGGTGATATGGCTCGAGTGACGGCAAAGCCACCACGAAAGGCCAAACCCCTCTGAACCTCCGCAGACCGAATTTTCACCAAGCTGAATACCCCGCTACAACTGACAACCCCCGATGGATGAGGCTACCCATAATGATCTACCACTTTTTGGGCCGCCAGTACTGTGTCATGTTGGCCGGCGGGTGCTTCTCCTTTGACCAAACTAGCATGACGATCATCCTCGGGCCAAAATGAAAACGGATCCCTCGATGAAACAAATGCGGCAGCAAGTGTTTCTCGGTCAAGCAAGGCATTCATTCTCCAGCAGCCTGCAATCAAACTAGGTCGGCAGGCTGAACATGACGAGCCGGATCCAGGGCCGACAGGCTGTGGTACTTAATTAGCCAATGCGGCCAAGATCACATTGGATTTCTACACCAGTCGGCTAAGTCCCCCCTCAAACCTCATTCTGCGGAAGTTCGATTCGTGAGATAAGAATGCGGGGAATGCCGGCTGCTGGTCCTTCCTAATAAATGAAGCCGAACAGGGGGCGAGTTGCGGAGGTCTTCACTCCCGCATCCCCATTCGGAAATTTCACTGCTTCAACCTTCTTCCCCGCTTCAATACTTCTGAAAGCGTGCCAAAGCAGGTCAGGTCATGTAGAATTGAGGGACGGCGGCATCAGGGCCGACTCGCCGATATACCGATATTCAGGAACCGAGTCTGCGAGCAGAACCGCTTCCATGATTCAATTTCTCCAAGAGGGGATGATCAGCTAGACATGTCAATGGGTTACGGAGTATGTCACTTAGGATACATTGCCATGTCTTTGCTTAAGATCTCCACAGTCGACCGAAGGCTCTGGCCTTTCTTCTGTATATATTTCCAGTTGCGCCCATTATATAGTAGGTTCTTGCGAGAATAGACATCCAATCGCAAGCCCACGCCAACATGACTTCTTCACGTCTTCTCCTTGTCTCCTCTCTTATCGGATTGGTTGTGTCACAACATGCCGGAGACACTCCTGATATCCACCCCCCAATCACAACTTGGGAGTGCACCAAAGCCGGCGGTTGCGTAGAGAAGAAGACCCATATCGTCCTAGACTCTTTAGCCCATCCTGTCCATCTAGTGGGCGACTCCAGTGTAGGATGTGGTTCGTGGGGCAACCCGCCTCCCGCAGACATCTGCCCAGACAAGGAGACATGCCAGCAGAACTGCGTGATGGAGGGCGTTCAGGACTACTCTCAGTACGGTGTCACGACTGACGGCGGAAGCCTCAGACTCGACATGTTGTCTGACAGTGGTGCTACCTTGAGCCCACGAGTTTACCTCTTGTCTGAGGATAAGCAGTCGTACGAAATGATGCAACTCACAGGAAAGGAATTCAGCTTCGACGTTGACGTTTCTAAATTGCCCTGCGGAATGAATGGGGCCCTGTACCTGTCAGAGATGCCAGCGGATGGTGGGCTCAGTGACCTGAACAAGGCCGGTGCGCCTTGGGGAACGGGATACTGCGATGCCCAATGTTACACTACGCCATTTGTTGGCGGTGAGGTATGGACTTTCAACTTCTTCTCTCCATTTTGTATCTGCAGTCGAATGTTTTTAGATAGCTAATCATGAGTTCACAGCCCAATATTGAAGGATACGGCTCCTGCTGCAACGAGATGGACATCTGGGAAGCCAACTCGCGCGCAGCTCACCTCGCGCCCCATCCCTGCAACCAGACAGGCCTGTATAAGTGCGAGGGCGCCGAGTGCGCGTACGAAGGCATCTGCGACAAGGACGGCTGCGGCTACAACCCCTGGAGGTTCGACAACTACGAGAGCTACGGCCTGGGGCTGGAGGTCGACACCACACGGCCCTTCACCGTCATCTCCCAGTACCCGGCTGATGAGAACGGTGTCCTCCAGGCCTACCGACGCATGTACATCCAGGACGGCAAGCTGATCAAGAACGGCGCCGTCAACATCACGGACCTGCCCCAGGTCGACTACCTGAGCGACGAACTGTGCACTGCCATCAACTCAAGACGGTACGGAGAGCTCGGCGCGACCAAGGGGATGGGAGAGGCCCTGGCGAGAGGCATGGTGCTCACTTTCAGCGTCTGGTGGGACGAGGGCGGCTTCATGAAGTGGCTCGATTCCGGGGAGGCCGGTCCTTGCAACGATACCGAGGGCGATCCTAAGCATATCCGCGAGATCCAGCCTGATACCGAGGTCACCTTCAGCAATATCAAGTGGGGAGAAATCGGATCGACCTTTGGGCCGGTGAAGTGTGCCAAGAGACGCTGAGAAATGGCCCTTACCGGAGACGATACATCTATGTACATACTTGACAGAGAAAAATGATCGAATGAACTTTGCAGGAAGATTTGGGAAAAAGAAAGTAAAAAGATAAACGGTCCACTCAGTGAACCGGGTTCGAAGCGAAGCCTTCCTAGAAAAGGGGAAGGATGAAAACAATGGCGTTTAATAGGTAGTTCGCTACTTCGCTGGAAACCAAACTCTCTTTTTGCCATTATATAGGTAGGCACCTAGGCAGTCTCTTAGGTGCAGAGGACAAGTACTGGATATCCTTTCAAGTCCTATCGCTCATCGCCAGGCCCCTGATATATCCATAGATACCGACTAGTCAGGTATCAATATATAGATGCTACCAGGCACGTACGTACCACAGGCCGGTCGCAGCCTCGTGCTGTGATTGTTTACGAGCCCACAGACCGCCACCATGTCCTTTGTCGCACAATCACCCTGCTCGTGTTTAGTTCTACGTTTTCTTTTTTGTTAGCTTCTTTTCTTTTTCTGGTTCTCGTTAAATATCATTCCGCGTGTGCATTCATTCTTTTTCATCAAAACCTCCATTGTTCCACCTACATCTTCATGTTCATGAACCAACTACTAATATCGTTTTTACTGGGTTCGTTCTCATAGAATAGTCCATAGAGGACTGAATATAGCTCTTGATTGCTACCCCAGACTCAAATCCAAAATTCGCCAGTCAATTGAACCCAATCATAGTCACCCCAATGGAAGAATCGCTCATCAGCCTCCAAGTCACACACTGGCTCGAAGCATTCCATGCCTTCTTCGCTCCAATGGAAGAACTACTCGGCCATCTACACCTAGCCGCAGACTGGCTCGGAGCATCCGGTCTATACCTCCCCCCGATGGAAGAACTCCTCAATCACCAACACCACTCCGCGGCATCGGTGATCCTAGCCGCCATACTCACGACCCTCACCCTCGCCCAAGTCGCACACTGGCTCGAGGCCTCCGGCGTGTACCATTCCTACGACGAGTCCCTATTCAAAGGAACCACCGCTCTCCTACGCGCCGTTTATGGTCTCTTCAGCTGGAGCACCCTACAGGGTCTCTTCCCCAACAACCAAACAGCCCGCGAAAGGGAGCGCAGACTGCTCGACAACTGCGCCAACAACGACCTACTCCCACCGAGACGATCAAACTCGACATCTCGCAGGGTAGACTCCCCCCGCGCGCGACTCAAACGCTTCAAAGACCAGTGGAAGGACAAGTCCTTCCCCGGCAGCAGCCGACCCCCCTGGATCCGCGAGCAGCGCCTCGCATGGGAGAGGAACGTGTGCGACCTGTACATGGAGGCCCTGGTGCGCGACCACGACGCCCTGGAGGCGCAGCTGGCGGAGCGGGACGCCAGCCTGGAGAGGCTGAGGGGCCAGATGGCCGAGCTGGAGCTGAGGGTCGAGCAGAACAGGAACTGGTACTGCAAGATATGGAACATGCACAAGCCGGGGGACGTGGTGAGCAGGGCGCCCATGTCCATGGCGAAGATGGCGCTGAGGCAGACGGATCTGTGGGAGGCCATGTACAGGCAGAATCTCATGAGGATGGGGGATGAGTTGCAGACGGTGAGTCTTCAGCTAGATAAGATGACGGATAGTGAGCGGGCGTTGAAGAGGAAAGTTGCCGGTTTTGCGAAGGAGAGAGAAGCGCACAGGCAAGAGAGGGAGAATAATCAGGTGTTGATCGAAAAGTTGGGACGTGAGTTGGAAGACAGCTTGAAGCAGGGGCAGGTCGAAGGCCAAGATGGGAAACGGGCGGAGGACGTCAAGACTGAAGAAAACCTTGAGGGGGAGGAGGCCGACGAGCGACAGATAGCTGCGTCAGTGGGGAGAATGAAACACAAGACATCAAAGGCATCTGTCAATCTGGAAAACAAGCAGCTGAGCGAGGAACTCGCGGATACTGATGTCAACGACGACGATATGATTATTTCTTGGGAATAGGAGGACAGAAGGGTCATAATTGCTCTTGTAAAGCGTGCAAATTAATGACATACGTAAATAGGTTGCGATATAATCAAATTCATTCCAACACAAGAACCACAACTAATTTCCTCAATCCCAAGCCTAAACTTGGTATTGCTCTTGCCGTAGTTGCTGCTTCATAAACTCATATCATCCTATATCATAAAACTACCAAGCCTTGGCACGGTAGTATAAATAAAGCAACAAAATGAACGATGACGGTTAGATATAGGAAAGAGATATGTGGTAGGAGAGATTAAATATCCCACCAAAGCAAACAGTTCCGCCCTATCCTTCCTAGCAAAGTGCTGCAGCAACAGCACCGGCGAAGCCACCAGCAAGCAGAAGAGAGGCAACCTGGCCGGAGGCAGCGTTCCCGTTGTCATTGGAGCTACCGCTGCTGGTAGTTGCTGCGGCGCCGTCAGTAGTGGTGCTGGAACTGCCACTGTTGCTCTGCGTGGTAGTCCTGGGAGCACCGTTGTACGTAGTTGTCAGCTGGGAAGGGTCCGTGGGCCTGGTCGCAGTCACGGTGACGGACTGGATGTACGAGGTGGCGGCGCTGGCAGCGTAGCTGGTGGATGAGAAGCTGCATGAGCGGACGATCTTGTTGATGTCTGTTTGCCAACAGGTTAATATCATCTCGCCCACGTTTAGAGAGGCTTATATTTGTGTAAGTACATACCCTCCAGAGCATCGTCAGCGTCATCATTGCCGCTGTTGTTCTGGTTCTGGCGGATGCAGTCCTGGCAGAGCGCAGCAACGCTGGAGACATCGAAGCTGTTGTTAGTGCAGAAGCACTGAAGCTCGAGCAGATCCTCCTGGCGGTCATTGTTGTCGCCTGGGAGGTCGACGTTGCACTGATCACCGAGAGTGGCAATTGGCTGGCAGATGCTACGGCACACTTGAGGAGTATCGTTAATATCCAGGTCAAGGTCAGCTCGGGCCAGGAGGGCGAGGGGCGCCAGAGTGAGGAATGTGTTGGAGAAATGCATGGTGTTGATGAGATGGGTTGAAGTCTTGGAGATGGTCTTGACTAAGTTGTTGAGCTGAGTGATGGATAGGTAGGAATGGTAACCAGAGGACAGGCGGGCCAAACGTTTCTATTTATCCTTCGTGTCCTTGTTCAACAGCAAATAATATGCTCAGTATGACATTCTCCAAATTATTCAAGACAAATTACGCTGATGCTTTCCGGGAAGTGGGATGGTCTCAGCGTCGTCTTGGCAATTGGGATCGTCTCCCACTGACGCGTGTTGCCAAGACGACAATGCAGTCCATGATTCGCCCGAGAAAAGCATAAAACGATTGATCGCCAAGCTTGCTTCGTCCTCGCTGCACACACAGCCCAAATGCCGAGCCTAAAACTGGATCCAGGTCTGTGGGGGAGCCGCTCTTTTGATGCCGCAACATTGAGCGAGGTTATTGCTGGCAGGCTTGGCAGGTCAACATGACTCTCCATCTTCGTCACGGCATGATCCATGACCAGCTGCGAGGTGGACATGAAACAGCAGAGAGTGAGGCAGACACACGGACCGTGCTGTGTGTGATGGGTGTCGGTCGGATTGCATTGTCATGACGCAGCGCATTAACCCATCTGCCGATCAATGGATTTGCGGTCAACCCTGATTGGCGAGGAGGCTCAACCGGTTTCCGATTTAAGCTTGCTTTCTGAAACTGGTGCTGCCGTCTCGGTGGCGCAGTCGAGACACTCACGCAAACCGTCGTACAAGACTGTCTCGAGGGCGGGAGGTCGCCCCGGGCCAAGAGATGGATATTCGTAATGAGTCGAGGCTGAGATGTGCAACAGACACCGCAAAGGTTCTCGCTGGAGCATCAGATGACGGGAAGCAAAGGTTATCATGTATCCAGACAAAAGATCCGCTTTCGCCTTGGAGAGCCCCGAGAATGCACTCTAGGAAAGCCTGAAGACCATTGGTATGACGACCCATTGATGGCTTGGTAACCCTCACACCAACCCGTATTACAAGCCGCTCCAACGAAGTAGATAGACATTCTTTACTACCTATGTGCATAGATGCTGCTGTCCTACCTGGCAATCTTTTTCCTTGTTATTGCCCTTGATCTATTTTATGCACTCAACTCGTCGACGAGAGAGTGTCCCCTTATATAGGGATCTCAACACCGACCCATCTCTATTCACTATATCGAGCCCAGAAAACGGAATAAAGGAAATCTCAAAATGAAGGTGCTCTTTTTTAATACATACTGTAACTTTTCCAATTCGTCGCAGAATCGTCTCATGTCTTCGACTTGATCTCATCTCTCATCTCGCTCTTGATCCTCGTGATCGTGCCTGCCCCTCCGTACACCATGCCAGTGTAGACCATGGCCACGCTGGCGCCGGCGTTGAGCACCTTGAGAGCCTGCTCGCCGTTGGTGATGCCGCCCGTGGCGAAGATGACCTTCTCCGCCTCGCCAGACTTGAGCGTCGCCGTCGAGAGTGCGCTGTTGTACTTCTTGACGAGGTTCAAGGTGCGGCTAAACATGGCGGGGCCGGAAAAGCCGCCCTCCTCCGTCAATGCCTTCTTGTCCTTGGAGGTGAGGTACGCGGGCCCGGTAGCGGGGAGGAGGCCGTCCCTCCTCTTCGTCGTGTTGCCCACAATGATGCCGTCCACACCGCTGTCAAGCACTGCAGTGACAATGCCGCTGACCTGGCTCTCGTCGTCTTCGTCCGGCGACACCTTGACCATGACCTTGGGCCGCTGCTTGCGGTCCGTCTTGGCAGCCTCCTCGACGACCGCGCTCAGCAGCCGCGTCAAGGGGCCCGTGGCCTGCAGGTCCCGCAGCCCAGGCGTGTTGGGGCTGCTGACATTGACCACGAGGATGTCGGCGTAGCGCGCCAGCCTCCTGACGCAGTATACGTGGTCGTCCGCCACGGCCCTCTCGTCCGAGCCGTCCGTCTCCTTGTTCTTGGCGATCTGCACAGCCAGCAGTCGGCCCTCGGCCAGACTCCCCGGGGGCACGCCCGCCTCGCCGTCCAGGACGTCCTGCTCGGTCACGCCCAGGGACTTGGCGAACCTCCTCAGCCTGTCCCTCAGACGCACCGACATGTTGTCTGCCCCGCGCGAGTTGAGCCCGTAGCGGTTGACCATGCCGTTCAGGGCCGTCACGCGGAAGACGCGAGGCTTCGGGTTCCCTTCCTGGGCGAGGGGCGTGCAGCCGCCGACCTCGACGATGCCGGCGCCGAGGCTGAAGAGAGGGTCGGGGACCTCCCCATCCTTGTCGAGGCCGGCCGAGATGCCAATGGGGTTGGAGATCTTGGTTCCGAAGACGGTGGCCTGCAGCTCGGGAGCGTCTTTCAGAGAGGCGTCTCGCTCGCGGGGGTGGAGGTTGAGAGGGTAGAGGAACTTGAGGGCGGCGGTGCCAACGTGGTGAGCGTCCTCGGCGTCGGGGAAGAAGAGGCGGATGGCGGGAGGGATGAGCCACTGGTGGAAAGACGCGCGGGTATCGGTTGTGTAGAGGTATGCGGCGTAGGCAGAGGCAGCGAGGGCGGTACTGTACAGAGCAATCTTGGCTCCGCCTAATTGGCTGCCCGACGACGATGATGAGGATGCGTAGCGGCGGGTGGGAACGGGTGATCGAGGGGCAGCGTTGCGTAGGCCCACGGCCAGGCGCGGCCGAAGCAGAGCAGCCGACATTGGGGGTTGTGATGGAGAGCTGGTGGTCGAATCGGAATGATTGGTCTCGTCCCCCAATGGCAGGCAGACAATGGTTGCGATGCCCTTCGTCGGCAGGCTGATCAGGAAGCTGGGTTTGGTGACGAGACGTTGATTCCTTCGATCCGGCAAAGTGCCTGACCGAAGTGGATCTCTCGGTGCGGGTGCGGGTGGTCTGTGCTTTTGCCCAAAGTCCATCGTCCAGGGTACAGCAACAGATCAGCCCTCTCCTGAGGATGATGATCGCCTACTAATTACATCACTTCAGTATGACGTCGGTTGAGTTTATAAATTGTATAAAATGTAAGCTTGTTTAGAGTCATATCTCAGGTCATTAAATTACAAAAAAATAGGCTACCCTTTCGGGTTTATATGCGTTCCCAAACCATCCCGCATCCTGTCGGAGAAGCGATTCGAAATTCATCCATCGTCCTTCAACTTTAGATCGAACTCGCCTGTAAGACGGCAAAGATGTACTGATCCAAAAACCACGCCAAGCGGCCCGAGAACATAGAAAGTGGTGGTGGGGAGCGATATCACACGCTCATCAACAGGAACCAGTACGTAATCTCGTCCTTCCATCCCAGTTACCCTCCACCCAAGAGACGCTATCATCGATATGATCAGCGGTTACTGTTGAATCAACAGTGATTAAGAGGCTCTTTATTATAGCCCCCCAGAAGCTCAGATGCCAGTTATGGTCTGAGAATCCATTACCAAAGATGGTTCGCCCAATCCAGCCAATGCCGAAGGGCGGCCACCTGAAAGAAGTAAAGTTCTCTTCCAGTTGCAGCATTGACTGCAACCTGAATGATAAATCACCGTGATTGGTGACTTGCGAGCCGAAGAGAATAAAGAAGCCGAAACCAAAGGGTTCTGATCCTTGATGACCTGGCAGGCAAGCATAGCCGGCTCCGAAGGCTCATACTACCATGCCGGACCGGTTTAGTAAACATACCGGACTCGGTCACCCCAGTCATCACACATACCGAGAGGAATCCATCGAGAATGATTCAGCTGAGAGAATAGCGTGGCAGCAAAAGTCGAAAATGACATCTCGTTAGACAATCAAGGCGGCAGCTCGTATGCGAGGCGAGGATCAGTATAGTTGTCTCGATCCTGGTAGTTCTGTCGCTGGTTGTACTGGGCCGTTTCCCTCTGAGGTGTCGCATTGCGAGGAGTGTGCTGCGGGCTGTCCTGGAAGTGCGCATCTCGGACCGGGGTGCCGGTCGAAGTCGGGATTGTTGGAGTTGGAACAGGAGGGCTGTCGCCTGCGTACACACGGGGAGGCCTCCATATTTGGGCATCGACGCTCTGTGTGTTGGTTCTCTTTGTCGCTACTGAATCCCTAGCCGACATGTGCTCGGGGCGGAGAGTTGACTGCTTGCTCATCGATCGCTTCGAGTGTTCCTGTAATTCCATGCCCTTTCTTCGTCGTCGCTCTCTGATAAAGAGGAATAATAGGATAAAGATGATGAGACCAGCGACACCGAGACCCACGCTCATACCGATCATAGCTGTTTTAGAAAGACCAGAGTCGCTACCGCTACTATTGTCACCGTGTAAGTTGCTGGGATCACCCTTAGTTCAGGTTGAAATGACATACCTTGCCGAGTTAAGTGTACCAGTTCCAGTCGGTAATGCAGCTGAGACCGACGAAGTGGATGTCGCTGATAGAGTGCCGTTGGCTGCAGCTTGCTGGTCGCAAATCAGATCCACGGTGGCCTTCATCCCTATCGTTCAAAACAATCCGTCAGCAAATATGGCCCCAATTGCGAGGAGGAGTGAGGCGTACTATTAAAGAGGTTCTCGGGACAGGCGGACGGCTTCTCCTTGTAACAGGTAGTCAAACCATCCTTAATGCCCTGCTCGTTGTTTCCGGTACACCAACATGACTGCGTGCTGGAACAGTTCACGCTGGCCACAGCCTTGGAGAGACAAGACGTGATACACTCGGGGACATTATCGCCCTGGACGAAAGGATCGGCCGTGCTCATCTTGGACGGTTGACTTGATGATCTCTTCAAGCCTAACAAATGTCTCCTGTGGATGAGCAAAGACAACCAAGCGAGCCAAGACGAAGAAAAACGTCTCGAACCAGCAGCGAGTGGTTGAGGAGATGAGAAGGAAGACGAGCAGTGGCAGCCTCACGTTACTTAGATGGAGACCACCGGAGAGAACCCAGGCCCATCCTCAATATCCACTCGCTTTCGGCGGTATGGGAGACACGCAGCTCGCATGGACCCAAGGCCCAGGACGATACCCCATAAGCAGCACCCTGCAGACTGCAACAGCCCTCCACCTCACCTGCAGAGTGTGGCATCCTCGGACATGGATAGAGAGAGAGAAATGGAACTAGCACCATCCATGTGCGGGTAAGGTAGGCCAGAGAGCACGAATGGTGAGATGGCAGTACGGAAGCGGCCGAACGTGAACCTGATGGAGTTAGACCGAAACGAAGAGAGCAGGGCCTTGGACGCGAGAAGGATCAGTCCCCTGTCCAAGGCTGCTGAACTGAGGCTTTCGACATTGGATGGATCGTGCCAGGAACGTTGCACTTTCAGCGGGGAAGAACCATCTGCGCAAGTCCCTGACGAAGCCGATGAGGTAGACCAGTTTAGCGGGCTCTTGATGCTTCAGGCGTCGCTGCGACTGCCCTCCCACCTGGAGCTGCAGGCTCTTCAGTGGATATCAGCCTCCAAAGTCCAGGCAACATACCCTCCACCTTCCGCAACCCCTGCCCTGCCCACCAAGCCAAAGTTGATGCAGCACGCATCTGGCTCTATTCACCTGTGTGCTAGCGAGGATTACTCAGGCTTGGCGAGATTCGCTATCACTGCAGGGAGCTAGGCAAAGGTTGCATTCAATAGCGTTAATATTGGCCATACTTCAGGTACTGGCGGTCACCCAAAGCCTTGCCCGGCAGGCATCAGTCATGCGACCGCAGGAAAGATGGGATTTATTAATAATAGGTTAATCAGGCTGGGACAGTCTAACTACGCCGTTGTTACAGACTGCGAACACAGACGATGCTGATCAGTAGATGAGTAAAGACATGGCTCTGGCATACCACTCTCCACAGTACGACGGATATGAAGGGGGCTGAAAAGTCTACACTGTCACCCTGATCTATGCGCATCGTATTGCGAATTTTAGAGACAAATCCAGGATAGCAACCGGAATGCTCCCTCTGGGATGATCCCCGCCAGCACGTGGAAACGACGGTCTGGCTCAACGTCAGCTTACTCGGCTCGCTGAACTTGCCGTGGGTGGTGCTGAGAGAGGAAAAAGAGTTCTACCACGTAATCGGGCTCTGATTGGGACCCAGAAGTATTACTATTACGGGCTGATGGGCCTTCATGCAGGCCTCCGGCAAAAATAGCACAGGCTTGCCTTTAAGCATTTTAGGGCCCCCAAATCCCAGGCTCAGTGGGGCTATGCGGCGCGAGTGCGCTGTGGACGCCTCAACAGCAGGGAGCCAGTGATAGATCCATGATGGTCAATCGATCGCGAAAACTGGCCCTCCCTCGCTATGAATGCTAAGAATAGAGGATCAAGCTTTTTGGCGGCAGCTAGGCAATTGAGCCAATTATTCACAGCTGAGCTCGCGGACAAGCCATTCCCGGACGACGCTACCTATGCAAGTATCCAACCTCGTGCATCATTGGCGGACTAGTTCGCAGCCAAGCCATCCCAGCCGCATGTTCTCGAGCGCTCTTTGAACTTTTGAGATCTCCCAGCATGCAGGAGCTTGGCAAAGGCGGGGTTCAGCTTCATGCGCTAATTCATCGCCAGAGCCTTCATGATCAGCTGTGTCTCGATTCATCAATGATCCCTGTCTACCTCCGAGATCTCCCATTCACCTGGGTTATTTTCTCTATCTAGAACGTCGTGCCTTCAAGGAGCCTTTCTCGAGTAGTTTCTCTGAACCCTTTGAAATCTCTGATCTAATTAACTAGAATCCCCAAGCTAAGACTCTGAAACGAAGAGAATTGTAGGATCGCGACGGGACTTTCCAGACCCCATAATTTGCACTTTGATGCCCCAAAAAGGGAATGCCAAATCGAGTTTGGAATTAAAAGGACACTGCGTTGCCTCTGGGACCATAAATCAATCACTTGGAAGTGATTCCCTGCGTAGGATCTCTCAATGACAGAACCTCCAATGTTACCGATCCCACTTCGCCGCTGCAAGCTGTAGGGATTCGATAAATGCAGTGCGCGGCGTAAGGTTAGAACGATGGTTGATGAAGGGCTAAGAATAACGAAATGGCCGCTGCTTCATTGACTGAGTGTTTCTATTTCGGATTGTGGGATACGCTGCATAGAACCCTCCATTACTCACTGTAACATAGGCTATTACCTCACCCCGAGGTAGCGCTCGAGAGGCGCAGTCTGCATATTGACATGTCGGATACTACGAACTGCTCTATGTAAGGTCTGTAAGTAGATATGTGTTTGCTGCGTGTGTCACAAAAGTTCAACTAGGTCACCAGACGTCAGGATGGAGGAGCACGCATCCAGCTGAGGCACTCGGGTCGACAGACCAAATCTGGTCTTAGTAGGTATTGCGGAAGGATTTGGTCTGGATTGCCCTGGGAGCACATGCCATGATGCTTGTAGGGTTACACAATATCATGGCACGCAAGGTGCTTACTCCGCGGCAGAACTTTGGTGGTTTCCGCGCCCGTTCACACAAATACTAGAAGAAGCGTCTATCCCCGAGGCACTCACTCGCATTGACGGAAAGCTTGTCATTTCTGGGATCAATTGGTTTTTTGAACCAAAGTTCTAATAACATCACGATCCTTTATGAGGAAGAGGAGATGCACAACCCGGTAGATTGTAATTGGAGTCTAGGGTAGGCCAAAGGACTGGGGAAGAGCGAGTGGCGGGGATTGCGAATATTGACTATGAACAGAGATGCATTCGCTCACCAATGATGGATGAGTCGATTTTCATTTTACTAGTTCAAATTTATTAAGGATTTAGAGATCCAGTGAGAAGAGCAACTGGAAGCAGGCAGGCGTAAGCTAATAGGAACAAACACTCAGATTAGACTCTCATGTTATTGCAGGACTGAAGGGAAAATGCTGTTCGCTTCAAAGTCTCAAGGGATGCTGAGTGTATGGAACATGCTATACCACCTCGCAACGGTATCTCATAACCGTACGAGGGCGGATCCGCTATGATACTGGTTCTGGTCCTGCGAGCGGGATGTCGTACGCAGCTGGGGGTGGCTGAGTCTCATCTCCCTGCAATAAAAAAAATACTGCATTCAGTATGGCATGCATAGGCAGGCACACACTCGCATTCGCTTGTTAATGGCGATTACAAAGGCTTACGATATTGTACTCGCAATGTGTCGATGAACAGCCCCAAACTCCGCAGAGATGCCAGGTCTAGAATCGATAGTTGAGCTATTCCAGTCGCTCACGTGCACGGCTGACCGCCCATCATACCTTGAGCAAAGGTGCAGACCGCACTCCAGCCCACTAGGCAACATTTTTTATACCTTTGAGGAGCATAGAAGTAGTCAAGATGTGCAATTATTTTAGGGTTATTTTGCGGGTAGCCTTATCATGAAGTACTACGAGTTCAGTGATACGCGTCAGGCTCGGTGATCATGAAGTCGGAGAGTTGTTGTAGGGTAAGTGATTACCAAACTATGTAAGTGGCCAAGTGGGTGACAGAAGAAATAAGGCACCCAATGGAAGGGTAGTTCTACTTTCGAAGATAAATCACGAAGTTCAGAAGTATAAAACGAAAGAAAAGGATAATATTTGCATATTATCTCTCAAGCATATATTATTGATAATCCTTAATTTGATAATAACGGTTGCAGACTCGACAATAAGCAGCTTAATGTTTGAGTGTCTCAATTTGAATGTCGCCCACTGTGGCGCAAATCGGCGACACCAGGTGCTAAATTTGAAGATAAAGGCCGTCGGGTGTAGCTAGTTTTAAGCATATGCATGCTGCTTCTGAGAAATTTGAAATTGCTGAGCCCAAGTTACTGCATGCAGGGGACAGGCAAGATTCGCTATGGAAATGGGAGCAGGGCCCAGTAGATCCAAACGTGCACAGATGCCGTTGCCGTGGAGAAGTGATTTGGATGGGGCTCAACCTCCACCAATTCATCATCCATGAACTCGAATAAGAAGTCCAGGAGCCGTATTCGCATCATCGACCTAGGACCCCCTACTGGGTCTAATTGAATGTGTATACTGGCGTCATGGGAATTGTCACCTGGAACGCACTTGCCATCATGACATCCGCTAAACAAGTTTTGAGAGATGTCTTCAGGGTCGGATCTTGGGGAGTGACGTCGTTGCTCGCTGAGGTCATATCTCTGCCAGTGAAGGTAGGGGGACGGCCGCGCCTCTTGCTCTATCAGAAATGGATCTACCGTTACTTCTCCTTGTCGCTGTTACGAGCTAAATAGTTGCTAGGGCCAGTGCTAAGAGTTGCCTCATACCGGTAAGTCTGATATCAGCTCGTACCTCCCCAATCGGCCCAGCTTCGCTCAACGACAGGCATCGGGGACGGAGCAGACAACACCGAGGGAAATGACATCAATCAAATCAGCCCGAAAACAGCAATGAACTGAAGAGGATGGGACCATAGGATGTCTGGGTATCTACAGACCATATGTGAATCTAAATAACCTTAATGCCTCGAACAGCTCGGAGGAAACCTTCGGAATGAGAATGCCTTGTGGGTGGGGGCCTGCAAGCGCAAACCTTCAGTGTTTGAGAGCTGGGCAACCAGCAGCTGAAAGGGCAACGAGGCCCACGTCATGGGCCTGGACTCCCTAGCTGATGGTGGGCTCTGGGCCTGTGGCCGCTGTAACTGGGGCCTGAGGGGCAGCTTCCAACAGGCCAACTGGGCATTAACCCATGGAACGCTGAGACTTGGAACAGAGGGTGGGCCGCCCTCAGTCCTTAACGGCGGCTGCTCTGCGGGAACCTCCCCACCCCGCTCCACCTTCCACCCACACACAAGCTGTCTTCGATCTCGGTCGGGGCCTGCATGCCAAATCAAGCGCCTTGCGCCTCCTTTGCCGCTTCGTAACTCGTCTGTTAGAGCATGGGGCTGGTCTCCAATAGGTTGTTGGTGAGTAGGTGAAATATCGTCTCATCCCCAGACCACGCTAGCGCTTCTGGCTGGTTTTACTTCTTCTCTTGCGACATATCCTTAGTTTGTTTTGTATTCCTTTTCCTCATCTTTTATTGCCGCCGACCTACATATGTCTCTGACCTCTTCCTACCGCCGCTAACAAGCACGAACAGCTCCTCTCCCACATGTAACCGACCCCCCCACAGTCCTCGATCACAGACCGCCGCTCCTCCTCCTCCCGCTTCACCCTTCTCGCCGTCACTGGCGACGAAGGCGAGGCTTTCTACGACCGTCACGATGGATTTCGACCCTATGATGTTCGAGCGAGCCGGTATTTCGGTTGGCGACGCCGCCGACCGACCGGCTTCCCACAGAATTATCGGTATTAGTCTTGCAATTGGTTCCGGGTTCTTTATCGGGGTCTCTTTCGTCATGAAAAAGTTCGGTCTCTTGCGCGCCAACGAGAAGTACAATGAGGTTGCTGGGGAGGGATACGGATACCTCAAGAACGCCTGGTGGTGGGGTGGGATGACGCTCATGATCGTTGGAGAAATCTGCAACGTCGTCGCCTACGCCTTCACTGATGCCATCATCGTCACTTCGCTTGGGGCTTTGACAGTCGTAATTGCTACCATCTTGTCGGCTATCTTCCTGAAAGAACGTCTGAGCTTGATTGGAAAGGTGTCGTGTTTCTTGTGCATTGTTGGATCGATTGTCATCGTCATGAATGCGCCGCATACGGGATCTGTCAAGGACATCCAGACTATGCAGAGTTACGTTATTCATCCTCTGTTCCTGTCATACACAGGCGTGGTGCTCGTTGGCTCCATCATCACAGCTCTTTGGGCCGGTCCAAAATGGGGCAACAAAAACATGTTGGTGTACATCTCAGTTTGCAGTTGGGTTGGAGGGTTGAGTGTTGTCTCCATCCAGGGCCTGGGAGCAGCTGTTGTTGCATGGGCTGGAGGCAAACCTCAATACAAGGAGTGGTTTATGTGGGTTCTGCTTGTCTTTGTGATCGTCACCCTCCTTGTGGAGATTGTCTATCTCAATGTAAGTCATACCTGAGAGATTGCCATTATTGGTCAATCGAAGGACGAGAACCGAAATTGGTACTGACTGCCCCAAACAGAAAGCTCTCAACATCTACAATGCGGCGATGGTTACACCAACCTACTATGTTTACTTCACGACCACGACCATTGTCACCTCGGCGATTCTATTCAGGGGTTTCCAGGGTACAGCAGCCCAGATCGTCACCTTCGTCCTTGGTTTTCTCACGATTTGTTCCGGAGTTGTACTGCTACAGCTTTCCAAGGCTGCCAAGGACGTCCCCGATGCAGCTATTTTCAAAGGCGACCTTGATCAGATCCAGACGATTGCTGAGCAGGAACAACCAGAATCTGAACCCAAGGCTGACGCTATCCGCGGCGCTGCAGCCATTGTTCGACGCATTTCTAGTGCTCGACTCAAGATGGAATCGCAAGAGCTGAAACGCCTCCACGAAGAAAAGATGATGGACCAGATGCAACCTATCAACGAAAATGGACAGCCAATGCAAGAGTTCGAATGGGATGGTTTGAGGCGCCGGAAGACTTTGAGATCAGGTACCGTCAACTCTCGTAATGCCCCTTCATTCACAGTGTCGCCGCCTCCGTCATCTGCTGGGTTCCCGGCGAGCCCTCACCCCCCGCTGGGTATGTCACGTTTTCCAGATCATTACGACGAGCCGGATCACCGCGACGACAGCGATAGAGGCAGCATTTTCTCCTCAATTGCAGGTACGATCACGGGCCGCCACCGTGCGCGCACGCGCTCAACCCTCCCCACGTACGAGGAAGAAGTCCTAGCCGCCAAGGATCCGCAACTTACGAAGCCCGTGCCACTGGCCGAGATAAATCCTGCACGACGAAATTCATATAGTGATGATGATGATGATGATGATGATCAACGTTCCCCTCCTCGGAAGATCCGCTTCAACCAAGAAACGTCCTATGGTGGTGGCGGCCCCGGATACGATCGAGATGAAGGTGGCCCGAGCCTGCATCCTCCTTCGCCTCCTCCACACACCAGCCAGCGCACCTTGTCCTTTAGGGGAGTCTTCCATCGTTCTGACCATAGTGAAGAGGAACGGCTTGGGTTAGTTAAAGGTGATAGAAATAGTAAGGCTCAAGCTGATGATTATGATGACGATTCAGACCGCGACCGAAATAATGGTCGCGGATATGACTCTCCCGACGACGACGACAAGCGGCGCAGCCAAGGGATGTTTCTCTAGAATGGCGTTACGATCGATTTCCTTCATGTTCCGTACATTGTGTCGAGGGAGGTTATGCAGAGCGTTACCTCCTATTGTTTAGTTCTTGTTTTGCATAGCAGGCGTTTTCTTTGGAAAGAGATCGGTTTTCTGTGGGGTTCAGAGGCAAACGAACTTTTTGGAGTATCATCGTCTTTTGGGGAGGAAATCTAGAGAGGGGGATAACCTGAACCTCGGGGTCATTCGGCAAGAAACGACGAGACAGCTTGGTATTGGCGTGTGCTTTGACATTTAGTTGGCTGGGAGGGCTGGAAGAGTCATGTATATAGAAACTGAGTATACGACAAATCAATGTTAAAAGAGACGAAAGTCATGATTCTTTCCACTGCTTGACCAAGTTACACCACAAGTAAGATTCCGCCACCATAATAAGTTCCCCGCGGGACAGACATGCATTTTCAAGTGTTGCTGTGTTTGGTTGGATGGGTAATAGCTCCCAAGCTCTTTATTCTGAAACGAAAGAAATTCTCTAGAAATTCAGCCTTCAAGGCTACTAAACATGCTCGCTAGCAATCGGTCATCGTCTAAACTCTAGACGCCTTATTGAATTCTATCACGGGAAGGGGAATTCTCGCTCGTTTAACCCGCCTAACCAACGCCGAATATGCATGTCGTTGAATCCTCTCCAAAAATTGATGAAGAGCCATTGGAAAGATGAGTCAAGAAAAATCAGATATACAGAGAAAAGGCCGTCATTGTTCTAGTTTGTCGGTCGCACGGCGAGCATCCAGACGGAGGGGTGAAGGGCGACGGCGCTCTTTTCACCAATCGTATGCCCAGCCGTTGTTCTCGAGGAACCAGTCGCAGGCCTGTCTTAGCACGATATTGGGTCGCAGCTCCTCCTTGGTGAGTGGCTCGCGGGTTACGGGGTCGACAGCATTGGCGTGGATGGCAGCCTGAATGGCCGCTCGATCGTATGAGCGTCCTGAGCTCGTCTACCAAAAGCGCAAGTTAGTAAGCGGTTATAGAAGGTAGAAAGGGGAATTGAAGGGGGAAACTGACGATTACAGGGTCGACCATTACGTTAAAAGATATGTCGTCGACCAACCACGGCGGGACCTCGCGCTCCCTGTCATCATCTTTCCGCGCCCTCTCGAAGATGCTCCTTAGCTGCAGGGCCTTCTTCTCGCTCTCCTCCCAGATTGCCTTCCTCTCGAGCTCGTCGTCCTCGGGGACGCTGCCGAGGGTCTCGTCGCGATCCTTGGCCAGCAGCTCTAGGATCTCCCGCTCGAGGTCCTGCGCCTCGCGCTTGCGGCGCCTCTCGCGAACCCGCCACCACTCGCTCCTGCAGTTGAGCACCCAGGTGTGCGTCATGTCGAGGCTTTTACGGTCGTCGGTCTTCCGGCAGATGTCGTAGGCGCGCTGGGCGTGGGTGTTGGCGGTCTCGGTGTCGCCGAGTTCGGCCAGGGCCTTGGACTTGAAGTAGTTGGCCTTGATGTTCTCGCCGTCCAGGCTGAGGCAGACGTCGCAGTCGGCGATGACGCCGTTGTACTCCTTCATGTTGAAACGGCACATGGCGCGGTTGGTGTAGAGGGAGGTCATTGCGGGATCGATGACGAGACTATGCGGGCCGGTGGGCTCTGGTTTCAGTATGTCTCACTCTAACTTGCCCGTAGCCGCGGCCCAGGAGGGGGAGGGGGAGGGACGGACGCTTGGGAGTAGCAGCTCTCTGCGCCAGCGTAGTTACGCTTGGCGAAGAGGGCGTTGCCCTCTTCCTTTAGGCGGAGCGCCTGAGGGTTCATGGCTCGAACAGCTCGATTGCGAGCTCGGTGTTGGAGGAATTAAAGATTGTGGTCGGGAGAGATGTCCAATGTCGCCGGGATGGAGCGGGAGAGGAACGGCTGCCAGTTAGTGGTCGCGTGGTTGCGGGGCACTGTGGAGTGGTGCTGTAGGTCTGGCGATCCAATCCTCAAAATCACCCCGCGTCAGTTGGTGTCTTAGCAATACGCAAGGGGAAAAACATGCAGATCAGAATCAACAATGAAAAGACAGGAATCTTAGTATCCAGCGGGTCCGCCAGCATACTGATTGCTTCCTTCCCTCGAGATACTGATAGACCTGCCGGAAGGTGCGATGCTGTCCCACCATTGATTTCTAAGCGTAATGTCCGCTCCGTCGACCCCAGCGGATATATGCTATTGGCAGAATCTTCGAGAAGTGCGGAAGCTGCGAGCCGGGGAATAAATTACATGGGGTCTTGGAGCTCTCCGATGGAAGCTTAAGGTTAGAGCTAAGAGTTCAAAAGAGTTAATGCAACTACCTGTGTTATAATTCATTAAATTTTTATTAGCCACATCTTTGTAACTCTTTTCACACAAGATATTTAATTATTTGATCTTGATATAAAACTTGAAGTATTGATCCCATCTAGAAGGTGATTCTATGATGAGCTTCTGCTAATAACAACCAATCAAAACCCACATATATTGGCTGATTCGTCTCCTGGCAATCCAGTCAAGATCTACTACTTAATCGGGGAAGAGAAGCGACAGGTGTTGCGAACTTGAGGATAGACAAAAGACACTGCCTACCTAGTCAAAACGTATAAGTATCTAGTATAACCTGGCCCATCCTTGAGCTTTGAGGAGGGGGCTCAAACGACGGGTTAGTTAAGCTACTCCGTACGAAGAGATCGGCTTGTTCGACGCAGAGAACCTGGAAGCCAAAACGAGGTAGCCGGATATGAATCTCCGTAGAGAGATCCATCGATTCCAAGAACATACAATTTTCCAGGAGGGGGTGAGACGATTGATATACAGCCTGGCCGGCATGGTCATTCCTGCTCATTGTGGGCCTTGATTGGGATATGCATGCAATATCATAATTCACAAGTGAGCAACAAGTCATGTTTCCACTGTTGTAGCTACCTAGGTAGGAATCGTACTGTTTAGGATCTATGCACTCAAATCACCGGTCTAGTATTTGCAGTATTGAGATCATCCTCTTCTGCCTATAGACACTCGGAATTATCTGAAAGGAGAACATTATTGGCGATCCTATAGAGACTGCCTACTAATATTTTTGGAACTTCTAAATACCTGGGGCTCAGTCCATGCATCACCCGGTATGACAAGATGCTACATAGGAAAAATCACTTATCTAGTGTATTCCACAAGATAGCACTCAATGAACCGTTGATGCCGATGTTCGCAAACATCTTGAAGCTACTGGGCGTGGGTGTGTTTGGAGGGGTTGGCAATCTTCCATTGGCTACAGTGCATGATTGGTAGATGATTGTCCTCGGGTTAGTCACATATGACCTGTAGTTGAGCCGAGTTTTGCTGTTCGAGGCCTAGGAAAGCCATGAACGTGCCTTAATCACTAATGCAGATAGCGATGGATTGTGGTGTCATTGAGCATTTCCCCCAGTGCGGACAATCAACGAGCAGAGCGACCCATCGATCGGATCTATGGCACTTGGACTTGAACCGAGTACAAAAGTTCTGCCTGTGTTTGAGAACATCTTGTGCTGTCTGCTAAAGGAAAGAGCGCGCAGGTGCCCCCAGGTGCTCCTGCCAATTTGTGTGTCACGCTGGGGGGCTTTCTTTCGCCGCTGGAGGAACTCACCCTCACTTCACTTTTCCTTCATCCCATTTGCGAGAAAGTGATTTGCGGCTTATCTCGAGCGTTCTTTTCATCACTTCTCATTTCTAAAATCTTGTACCTTCTTTCATCGCCAGTTTCATGCTACGCTCTTTCTTTCTTCTAGCATATTTATCATAAACTCACACTCACAGCCAAATCGATCAACGATCCCGCCGAGATGAGCGGTGCAGCTCTCTCCCCGAGGGAAATCCGGATCCTCGTCGCCACCGAACGCATTGGAGGCGGCCTTTCCATGGCCGCCATCGTTATTCTGGTAGCCTCTTATGTGTTTTTCAAAAGCCTTCGCACTACGCCGAATCTCTTCCTCGTCTTGGCAGCCCTCGCGAACCTTGGAGCGAGCGTGGCGTCTGTTATGGGATATGACGGTCTTAATTTGGGGAGACATTCGACTCTGTGCCAGGCTCAAGCTTTCATCTTCCAGTGGTAAGTGATCAAGGGTTGCTCGACTTTGCCCGAGGTAAAACAGAAACTGATCTCGGTCGAAACAGGTTCATGCAAGCCGATCCGTGGTGGTCATTTGCCATGGCAGTCAATGTCTACTTGGTCTTTTTCTACAACGTAAACCCTTCAAGCTTTCGCAAGCACGCATGGATTTACTGCTTGGTATGTTACGGTGGTCCGATGGTGACCGCAATTGCTCTGTTTGCGGTTCGGAATGATCCAAGAGGTTTGATCTATGGCGACGCAGTGGTAAGTCGCTGCGAAAGCCCCCGTATGCCACTGAAGGCGATAACTAACGCGCCTGAAGCTCTGGTGCTGGATTGACTCAAGCTGGAGTCTTGTGCGCATATATTCTTTTTACATACCAGTCTGGATATGTATTTTTCTATCCATTCTCATTTACATTGCTGTTGGCTACCGCGTCTTTCATCATCGCAATCAGCTGAGGAGCTTTGCCCACAATGGGCTCGGAAAAGACCAGCTGGATGGAAGTAACACAAGCAACACAAGCAATGCGGATAGAGATTCTGGAGAGGAAGTAAGCGCTCGCCGCAAAAGCACTCTTTTGCCTACTCATCTAATCAATCCTGAGCAGGCCCTCACCCCAAAACTTGACTTCTACGGGACGGTCGTTACCGAAGTTCATGTAACCTCGCACCATCCGACAAACGCATACAAGAGCTCGACTGCCATGTTCCCGCAAGTTCATATCCCCACTGGGCTTGGCCGTAGCCGTTCGTGTGTCGGGGCCCATGGAGTAGACGATATCCAAAGTCCCACAGCTTCAACCACTCAACAGTTTGAGACAATCTGCTCGTCTGAACGCGCACCAGTTGAGAAGAGGTCAAGCACAATGGTGAGAGTACTTCGAGAGGCCAAAGAGAGCGCTTCTCTAAAACTGAAACGACTTGACCCTGTGAAGGTGTCTTATCTTAGAACAAGTTTCATTTTCGCCTTTGCGGTGCTCATCACATGGATTCCCAGCTCCATTAATCGCCTGTACAGCTTGACCCATGACAACCAGGTTAGTTTTGGGCTCAGCCTGGCAAGTGGTTGCGTATTGCCCCTACAAGGTGTCTGGAATGCCATCATCTACTTCTCGACCAGCTAGAAGCCTCTATGTGAAGAGATGAGAGCACTCTCAAACAAAGTCTTTCGCAGAAAAACCTCAGCCCATAGGGCGACCTTACGAGCCGAGAGTCGGCTGGATGTCACTGGCGATATGAGTTGTGCCTCGCCATCGACGGTCAGATTCACCCATGCCAACGACATCGGTGATCAAAACTCATATGACGGGATTGAAATGAGAGATTATCGAATGTTTTAAGTCGCGCGTCACCAGTGTTCGGAGATGAACGAGGTAGATTCGCCGGTTTCCCATCGCCGGAAATGAAGTAGCATACTTTGAGCATTATCCCTGAGTGGGACTCGTATATGAAGCTGAGATAGGATGGCGCATAGCGTTTCGATATCGGGCGAGATTCACCGAATATGGTCCTGTTTGCTATTTACCAGTGTGTATAGTTGTCTCTAGCCTGCCATTTGCGGATTGAAGCTGGTCAGGCGTAGACCTGTGATTCGAGAGGGCAAACATAGTTATTGAAGGGTATTAATGGAGATATGCCACACTTGAAAAAATAGCCTGTTCTCAACAAGCTGGCTCATAATGATCATCATTCATGTTATTATTACATACGTTTCCCTCCGCGCACTATTCCGAGTACACTGGCTCTCCCTCGGCCACATTAACCCCAGTCTGGACAACGCGCTTCACCGCGTCCTCGATATCCTCGTCGCCGTCGTACAGATCGAGCCAGGTGTTCTTGATCCCCTCGGCGGCCAGCAAGGTATCGGCGACCTTGGCCACGCTGGCGCGGCTCGAGTTGCCCTTGGGGTAAGGGGTCCTGCCGAGGGTGACCTTGCCGACGGGGTCGTCTGTCAGCATACCGGGGCGGAGGTCGATGCCGACGAGGTGGGAGCTCTTGCGGGAGGCGCGGTAGAGCTCCTCGTCGGCGACGATCTTGGCCTTGTAGTAGTTTGCGAGGACGCCGTGGTTGACGGACTCGTTGTACTGCTCCCACTCGCCCTCGGGCCACCAGGAGGCACCGGCGCGGCGGGAGCCGATGTAGGAGACCAGGAGGAAGCGGGTGATGGAGGGGGTGGCGGCCGCGGCGTTTATGAAGTGGACCGCTGCGTCGCGGTCGATCTTGAAGGTCTGCGGATGTGTTAGTATACTACTCATTACTTAGGGTTGGTGGTTGGAGGCTGAGCTTACCCTCTCAGGAGCTCCTTTGCCGCCAGCACCTGTAGTTATCATTAGTTTTGTACCCTTTCATGCGGGGTTGGGGAGAACGTACCGGCACTCCAGGCGATGTAGTCGGGCTTCACCTCGGCCAGGATGCCGGCGGCCTGCTCCTGGCTGGTGACGTCCTCGATGCTGCGGACGAGGACGTTGAGCTTGCCCGGCTGCCCCGCGCCGAGCTTCTCGATGGTGGGGACCTGCTCCTGGGCGCGGATGACGCTGGTGACGGTCCACGAGCGCTGGAGGAGGAGCGGGGTGAGGAGCTGGGCGACCTTGCCGTGGCCGCCGAGGACGAGGACGTGATGGGACATGGTGGGCTGGCTGGTGATGATGGGTTTTGGTTTTTGGATGGGCTTCAGGTGTGGGGAGAATGGAGCGAGCTTCTGGTGGTGAGAGGGGGGAGGGCGCTATGCTTCAGATGAAGGGGTCTTATTTATGTTTTGATTCGGCAGCTGCATTAAGCCTCGAGGTTGCCCTGAGACGTGGGAGGTCCGGTTTAAGGTCTACAAGTACATGCGCCCAGGATGACGCCATGATGTGGTGTTTGGCGGGGTGGGTGCATCATGGGCAGGGACAATTGCACAATGCGCGAAGTCTGTTGTCATAGCTGTGGGTTTGGCGTCGACGTGGAACGAGGAGAATCGGGCTTGTCCGTCCAATGGAGGGCGGCTGTTATGCTTGGGAGCGTGACAATATCCGTCGAGGTCACGGAGCTGCGGGGTTCGCGGTTCCGCAACTCCCGGGGGTTTTCTTGGGGGTCTGGGATGGCGGCTCTATTACTTCATTCTGACAGGAAGTTTTCTCCGAAGAATGGAATGGATCATAACGTAAATCGGCGAACAAAAATGTCCAACATTCAAGAGACTATGGCGGCGCCCCGATGATCGGCTTGACTCGGCATAGTCTTATCGATTACAGGTCGCGACTCAAGAGCTTCCCCGCCATTGATGGCACTTGCAGAGGTTCTCAGATCTCAAGATTCTTTCTTAGATGGATGACCATCGGAATCTGGGGTTTGAAAATTGGAGTTTGTCATCGAAATTGGTCTGCCTAGAGGGAGTATCACATAGGTGCACATGCTATCCAACGTTTCTTTTTCTTATGCATGCGCAGCAAACAAACCGTCATAGATGTGGGGCACTTAGTACCGAGTTCAACCTCGCTCGCTCTCAACGTAACTAACTTAGCCGTCAGCATCTACCGCCTATGAACCACCTCTCTTTCTCGGAACGAGTCTGCTAGTGGCTTCATGTTCCTATGGGGAATGGTGAGTTCTGTCAAAGCAATGTCTAAGTCAGTTTGCATCATCGGTAAGTTGCTGAGGCTATTCCGCGCTCGTGACCTCTCCGAGTCCCATCGCAGTCCTGACTCCCTCTTCGTGTAGGCGCCGGGCCTTCCGGGCTCGTGGCCGCCAAAACGCTATTGCATAATGCGCCCAAGGGAGAGTTCAGAGTCACCATTTTTGATATCCAAGAGGAGGTCGGTGGGCTGTGGCCGACATCGTTAGCTGATGATCAACGTCAAGTCCATCCCTTGATGGTAGCCAACCAGAGCAGGCACACGATGCACTTTAGCGATTATGCTTGGGAGGAGAACTGGCCACAGATACCGTTGGGGTGGCAGGTTGGACAGTACCTTAAGCGCTACCAAGAACGATACTTATCTGGGCATGAAGGTTTCTCGCTCGAACTTGGGACTCGTGTTGCAAGTGCAGTGCTCCGGGATGGCCCAGAGTATGGCTGGAATGTGGTTTTGAGAAAGGGCGGGGCCGAAGAGACCAAGCCGTTCGACTATGTCCTTGTGGCATCCGGCTTCTTTGGAAAGCCCATCATTCCCGAGTGTCTGAGCCCACCCAAAGAGGTCCCTATTGTCCACAGCAGCGCATACCGCGACTTGGAGAGCTTGCTGAGCAGTGCTAAGCCGGGCGGTGGGAAGATCCTGGTGATAGGTGGGCAGATGTCGGGGGTAGAAATTGCTGGGACGATTGGTACCCATCTTTCCAGTGCCATGCATTCTCCTGAGAGCAGCAAGATCCCGGACATTGACAAGTATAGCATTCATCACGTTATCCAGCGGCCGATATGGGTGTTTCCCCTCTACACCAGCCCGGAAGTACGGTAGATATTGTGAACCACGGTTGAAGGTATTGGCTAACATGAGAAAATAGCCGTCATTCTCTGCAGCCCCATTTCTACCATTTGACTTTCCATCATATAACTTGAATAGGCGACCTCATCCTCTCGCGAATAGCCAAGGCCATATTTCCCAAGAGGTTGCCAAGCTCGTCAACGGTATATTTGAGACTACCCTTGGAAATGACCAATCACCATTCTCCAGCCAGTTGCATATCAATGAGGAGAGGAGGACTGAACAACCCTACCTGGCCGCAAGTGATTGGTACTGCGAGTTAGTGAGGTCCGGGCTAATCACGCTTACAACCGGCAAAGTCGAATCCCTACAAGGCACAACGGCGACGATTACACCTGGCAACGTTGAACTGGGAGATGTCGCCGCAGTCGTCGTTGCTACCGGTTTCGACGCCTCACCTTGGCTAGACTTCCTGCCCAAGGGCATTCTCTCGACACTGCATCACTCTCCTCGTCACGTTGACCAACCAGTCGCTCTTGCATTCCATGGAACTCACCACCCTCAAATCCCACGGCTCGGCTTTGTAGGTTTCTACAGGTCACCTTATTGGGGAGTCATGCAGATGCAAGCACGGTTCTTGGCAAGGTTCTGGTCCGGGTCTAAGGATAAGCTTGTCCCAGCTAGGCTTGATGACAAGCTTAGGTCGGATGATTCGATAGAGAGGACGTTAGGTTTAAGAGACGATCCTCGCGTTTCGCAATTCCCAATGGGTGACTACCCTTTCCTCATGCAGGAGTTTGCCGAAGCGTTGGGTTTAACTCGGGAGCCCCCGGCGACGGCAGGGTTGCCCGAACTTTCTGTCAACAACCAGCCCCTGGACATGCTTACCCCTTCGAGATATATTGACACGGCGGATGACGATAAGGCAAGGGAGGAGGCTGTGATTTCTCTCAAGAGCGCCCGCGATGTTACGCTGAGTTCGCTGACAACGCCACGTTTTGTGGCTAGGGCCGTATTCCGCAGTCTCCTTGGCACATGGAAACTTGAACGGGACCTGGTCAGCAAGCTCCCGTCTCATCCCAGCGGCCACTTTAGTGGCACGGCCCGATTTCTATTGCGCGAGGCGACCCTGGATGGCCTTCAGTGCGTGAGCAACGACGGTGGATCCACAGGGCCGGGCCGGTCCCGGGGTCTGGAATACCTCTACATCGAGGAGGGCGAGTTCAAGACAGACCTGGGATTCGGGTTCAAGGCAAGCAGGCGGTACGTATGGCGGTACGACGAGGACCGGGACGTCCTCAGTCAGTGGTTCGTTAAACCGGACGATGAGAAGCGGGTAGATTACTTGTTCCACGAGATCAAGTTCCTACAGCCCGACGACAGAGAAAAGGCCAAGAGCCAAGGGTGGCAAGCCCAGGCGGGTCATCTGTGTATCGACGATTTCTACAACGTCAAGTACGACTTTTCATTCGAGGCCGTGAACCTGAAGCAGTGGAGCATCGGATACACGGTCAAGGGGCCGAAGAAGGACTACTCGATCAGCGGGACGTATACGCGGTAGGGTAGTCTAAAGTAAAACAAACCAGGGTGACTCTGGCCCGTCAATGATTCATTTCAACCGTATCGGCAGTTCTATTTATTAATAGCAGGCAGGGCATGGGCTCAATCAGTAGACGAGACGATGGCACAACCAACAGCCTCATCCCACTTTCGCCGCAATGACTGTCATGAATGGGACCACCGGCATGGTAGCTGGAGTGATCCCGGCGCGGCCGTACCGTGACTCGGTGAGAATTTGCGAGGGATGGCGATGACTGTAGGGCGGTGTGTGTACGAGGTCAGGCTACTCTTATCTGGCGAGACGGGAAAAATTCCTGTTTTCCTCGAGATCGGAGAGAATGCCAGGGTGGTGCATGGCGGCATGCGAGATGAGGCATCGCGCAAAGGCCCGAAGGGACCCAAGGGGGCGGGATCTGGCCTTGATCTTCTGGCTGATTACGATGGCCTGATGGCTGCATCAAGGGGGTGGCCATCCTTGCTCGCGGCGAGGCGTGGCCCAGCGACGAGCTGCGAGAGGAGGTAAGCTTTGGGCCCCCTGCGAGCCATCCACTCGGTCCCCATTACGCCGCCGAAGCGAAGAACCTAAAAACCAAGCTTCTTGAGGGCGTACAGAGAGGTACTTGGCGATCTGCGGCGGGTGGATTGTTGCGCAGTGCGTGAGGTGAGTAATGGCCAGCTCAGCCCAGCAGCCAAGCACAACACGTATGTCCAGCAGCTGCACACACTGCATGAGGTGCTCCTGCCCTGCTTGTCGTCGCGGCACAAACAGATAAAAGACGCGGGATGCCCCTCACCTGTCCACCATTTTGGCCCATCCCTTTCTTCTCGCTTAATTAGACAGCCACCTATAGACAGCCCACTATAGATCATAGACGATAGAGCAACATTGCCTCTGCGCTACCACCCTCCACTAAACAGCCTACTACATTACCTACAGGCCACCAGACACCACCTGCCACTAACCCCCACCTAATCGATCTCACCACCATGAAGCTCGCCGTCTACAGCACCAAGCCCTACGACAGGCACTACCTGGATGCCGCCCTCAAGGCCCACCAGAGCACCACCAAACCCTCCACCAACGGCCTCATCCTCAACCTCAACCCCGACATCGAGATTGTCTACCACGAGTTCGCCCTCAACGAAGGCAGCGTCTCCCTCATCACCGACAATGCCGACGCCGTCTGCGTCTTCGTCAACGACACCCTGAGCGCCCCCGTCATCGACGCCCTCGCCGACAAGGGCGTCAAGGCCATCCTGCTGCGCTGCGCCGGCTTCAACAATGTCGACCTCGACTCGGCCCGCGGCCACGGCATCATGGTCGCCAACGTGCCCTCCTACTCCCCCGAGGCCGTCGCCGAGTTCGCCGTGGCCCTGATCCAGACCCTCAACCGCAACACCCATCGCGCCTACAACCGCGTCCGCGAGGGCAACTTCGCCCTCAACGGCCTGCTCGGCCGCACCCTCCACGGCAAGACCGTCGGCGTCCTCGGCGTCGGCAAGATCGGCCTCGCCACCGCCCGCATCATGAAGGGCTTCGGCTGCAACGTCCTCGCCTACGACCCCTTCCCCACCCCGGCCTTCGAGGAGTACGGCGAGTACCGCGACCTCGACGGCCTGCTCGCCGAGTGCGACGTCATCAGCCTGCACTGCCCGCTCATGGAGAAGACGCGCCACATCATCAACGAGGAGACCATCGCCAAGATGAAGAAGGGCGTCCTCCTCATCAACACGTCGCGGGGCGGCCTTGTCGACACGGGCGCCGTCATCCAGGGCCTCAAGAGCAAGCAGATTGGCGGCGTCGCCCTGGACGTGTACGAGGGTGAGGGCTCCCTCTTCTACGACGACCACTCGGGCGACATCATCGACGACGACATCCTCATGCGGCTCATGACCTTCCCCAACGTCCTCGTCAGCGGCCACCAGGCCTTCTTCACCGAGGAGGCCCTCCTCGAGATCGCCACCTCCTCCGTGCGGAACCTGCACGAGTGGGTTGTACGCGGGACGTGCCACAACTCCCTGACCAAGGACTCCCCCACCGAGTCCGGCCTCACAAGCCCCGTCCGGGCCATTTAGTGTGGTCTCTCCTACCTTTTTTCTTGTTTTCTCGTTTAGCCAAGCCTGTCTTTGGAAGTTGGGATGTGTTGTTTGGTTTGAAGGTTTTTTTATTGGTTGTTTGTGTTTTTTCTAATGGAAACAGAATTATGAAATACCCAGGCCTGTCTATCCTATATGTAGTTGTCTATCCAAACCTATTATATGCCCGTGTTCTCTACCCAAGTTCTATGCCATGAATGAAATAAGAGAATAAAAGAAAAACGAGATAATGAAACTTGCTCAACTCTCTCCCTGTCCTGGCCCATCAAGACCCAGACTCTCTCTCTTCACTCCCTCTCACTCCAACCCCAAATGTCAGCTTAAGGATTGCTAACGTAACTCCTCGCCCTCCTCAGATCCTCATCATCGGTGGGATCGTCCCGCACCAGCGCACCCCCATGCGTATGCTTGTGGTGCACATCCCCCTTCTTGCCCTTCTCCACGTCCGAGGCAGATCCCGAATCCGACTCCTCGTCGCCCGCGTACGCATACTTGCTCCTCTCGCGGATCTTGGCCCCGTAGCGCCAGAATAAGAAGGGGATACCGCAGCACGCGAGGCTGATAAAGGCGAGCAGCGTCGACGCCCAGCGGTCGTTGAGCCGGTCGTACATCTGCTCTGTGAAGAGGACGACGGCGGCGCCCCAGAAGCTGCGGATAAAAGTCTTGGCGGCGAGGGCGGAGGCGGCCTGGTGCTGGTACGAGTCGACGAGGTAGTTGTTGGCCGAGTTGTAGAGGAAGATGAAGCCGAAGCCCACGGGGAAGCCGCCCATCGCGGGACCCGCCCACGAGAGCTCCGGGTAGGCGGTCCAGGCGAAGATGAAGAGGCCGATGGGGATGAACCAGCACGAGAGCATCATGGGGATGAGGCGGACCTCGGCGGGCGGGTGGCCGTTGTGCTTGGCGACGAGCTGGAGGTAGTGCTTGTTGACGAGGGGCGAGCAGACGGCGGAGAGGATGACGCCCACGGCGACGGGGATGAACATGAGTCCCGTCTTGCCGGCCGAGTAGCCCTTGCCCTTTTGGTAGATGATGGGGAAGGCGACGAAGAACATGTAGAGGAGGCCGTAGAGGACGCTCATGTAGAGGGAGATGAGGAAGACGATGAGCTCGCCGAAGAGGAGCTGGAAGGGGCGGATCATGAAGACGGCGAGGCGCTCCTGCATGGGGCGCGCGTCGATGTCCTCGGCCGTGACGTGGCGGGCATCGCCAGTCTCGGCGCGGAGCTTTTTGGCGCGGGCGGCGAGGATGGTGGGCGCGTACGTCTCGGGGACGGTGAAGGTGATGAGGACCCAGATGATGCCGGAGAAGATGAGCTGGATCCAGTACAGCCAGCGCCAGCCGGCGGCATCGGAGAGGTAGCCACCGATGAGAGGACCAACTGTGAAGAAATGTTAGCTTCCTGGGGGCTTTTGCGGGAAAAAGGGGAGCAAGTGTTCATGTTTGGGATCACATACTGGCAGGACCAATGAATGGCGCGGCAGAGAAGGCAGCCATGGGAACTCCACGCTCCTCGTTCCTCCAGAGATCGGCAAGCGTACCACCGACCAGAGTCATCGGGGCAGAGAAGGCAATGCCGTCAATGGCACGGCAGACCAGGATCGTCTCGATGTTCTTGGCCACCGCACTAGGGATAATGAAAACGACCGCAACGAGCAAAGTTGAACCGCTGGAAGCAAAACACTGTCAGCACCAATTCAACCTCGTCAGAGAAAGCAGAACCATAAGACTTACTAGATGATCCTCCGACCATAGACCTCAGAAAGCGGCGCGAAAACCATAGGCCCAACACCGAAACCAACAACAAACAACGAGATACTCGCCAGCGTCAGCTCCTCGCTGGCGCCAAACTCCTTCGCCACGCCGGCAACGTCAGCAGTGATGACGGACGACGCGAACGCCACGACGAAGCAGGTCAGGGCGACGACCATGGTGATGTACCACTTGTACCCCTTGGACCAGTTCTTGGGGTTCTCCGGGTCGTCCGGGTGGAACGTCACGAGCTGGTACT